CAGTCTTCAAATGGAGTTCGTGTATGTCTCTTCCACTTCGCAGTCCAGAGGAGCAGGAAAGAGTTTCGACTTGCAGGAGATGATTTACAGAGCACTGTCCTGCTCTGATACCATGTTCCAATCAATAGAGCAGAGGGTGAAGAGGAGAGGAGGAGAAGAGAAGGGAGAAGAGAGAAAGAGATTGAGAGAAGACTCAAACTCATACTGGCAGCACCAGTATTTTTATAATACAACTTAAAAGAGGAAGAAAAAGACCAAAATATTACATCAGTATGCATAAATATGAATGTATACATAGGTACAAGTTTGAATAAAAGATGTTATTGTGTTTGTTAGCCATTCTGTTTTTTTCCCTCCTGTTGTACTTTCACTTTTGTACTGCTGCAAAATAGCAAATACACAGACATAAATTGTTCCAGCTTCAATAAAGAAAAGAAAATTTGAAGAAAAGGATAGAAAGAATAAAGAGAAGAAGATAGAAGGAGAAAGAGAAGGGAAAGAGAAGAAAAGAGGGAAGACTGGCAAGGAGAAATCTCACACACACTCCTTACTGTCAACCCAGGTTGTATTAACATCTTACTAAAGCTGAAATGACAATGATGCCCTTAGATAATTTACAGCAGACATAAGAGAGAAAAAACAAGAAAAAGACAATAATGCCCCTGCCAACTAATTCTAACAATTCTAGGATAAATAATACTAGCTCCATCACTCTTTTTTTTCCTGGTGTGGTTATTTTATCACCCAGTTTGAGTTTCAATTCCTTGAGGAAGTTTCTTGATTTGTACAACATAAGTGATGGCCTATGGTAAATTTCTTTAGCTGTGATGTGTTCAACACTAATGGCCTTAAATCTGAGAAAGAGGGGTTTATTAGTTGCAGAAACCTTCAGAGTTGTTGTTCTGTGATTTCCATAGTAAATTTCTTTCTACCATTGCATCATATTCCTGTGCAGTGTGAAAGCTTCTACAACGTTTGATTTCCCAATTATCCCCATTCAACCCACATTCTTCTATCATATTGAAGCTGACTTCTGTAGGCAATTCACATGCTGATGACCAATGTAAACTCTTAGACTGCTTATCTAAATCTTTAGGTCTCTCTACTCTCGGTGGTGATTGTAGCTTCTGTTGCTATTCTTCATCACCTAAGCCTGCCATCAAATCCCATGTGTTGGATTGTTGATTGTCTCATGATGCTAGTACTCAGAGATAGAAGTTGTCAAGTTGACAACTAATCAGACAAGGGTTACTGCTTGGCATCATGAAAATATTAAAGTTGTCAAGTTGGATGGACTCATCAGTTCATCACATTCAAAGTTGATGACTGATTTGTTGGCCACCATCTAGTTCATTGTGATTATGTTTTCTGCATTATGAACAATCCTTGCCGTTTCTGCTGAGATGTAAACATCCAATGGCCCTCAGCTTGTCTCACTATGGTTATTTGTGAGTGCTTTTGGGTGGGGTACCTTTGATAATGATGATGTCCCCTTTTTTAATATGCATACTTGGTGCTTGCTCTGCATTTACTTATTATCTGGATTCAGCTTCTACCAACTTTCTTAGAATTATGTGTATCAACTGGTTTTGGCTGGCCGAGGAATAGCTAACACACTGTCACATGAATAAAATATTATTATAGCAAGATTTCCATTACAAGGTGTATCTTTTAAAAGTGATATCTTTGGTAGAGAGTGCTTTGTATCTGTTCTAAAACACCCCCTGGTAATTGTTTCTATTTCTGTGTGTTCTTCCTCTGGTAGTTAGTTTTAAAACTATTCAGCCATGATCTGTTGAAGTTGCAATATGAACCTTAAAATAGGACCTCTCTCTGTTATCCAAGCATAGTAACTCTTCAAAATTAGGCAGCGAAAAAGAAAATCTGCTTATCCTTGAGAATAGGCAAGTTGAGGGAGTGAAGTAGAAAAATGATTAGTTCAATTTCCCGATGTGTAGAGAGCGCCACCACAACAGACAATTGTCAGCCCTTAACCCTAAATGAGGTTCATTGTATTGCTTTGTTCATGCTGATGGAACTATAAAAAATCTTTTCTACTGAAAGGCAAGCAAACGTGTGATGCCTTTGGAACATACATGAGCCGTGGTGTAGCCCTTTCGGTGTCTTGATGATTGTGCCTCTTAAAACTATTCTAGAACTATGTATCAATACATTTGACATGGAAATAGGAATAGTTTCTTATTAGTTTTTCAGGAATAAAATGTAATACTTCTGTAAGGATTATTACCACATCGTGTAGACTTTGGAATTATTGAATGAGTTGTGTGCTAGAGTTGTGAAGAAAAGCTCAGGACAACATGCAGCAGTCAAAATGTAGAGCCGGAGATGAGCTATTTTGAGTGCTATAATTTCTTATTTCATGTAAGTCCTAGCTTGCCATTTCTTCAACTTTCCACCAGTGGCACGAGAAGCAACTGAAACATTGAGTTTTTTGTCATCGAGCTTCTTTTTGCTTGTCATAACAACTGGAAATGAAATTCAAGTTTGATAGACATTTTATGTAAACACTTCCTTCAACTTACTTGTTGTACTTTACATCTGAAAGAATGTTCAAGAAATTCACCTCTTCCTTCACAGAACACATGTACTGATGATGTAAGCACATATTCTTTGCTTTTATTTTATCTAATGATGTCATGGTAATGCTTTTTTTCTTTTACAGTATGATTGTCTGTTTGCATGATTATTGGTGTCAAAATAGTGATTTCTTCTCAAGAGTATGTTACATTAGAAGAGAATAAAATCCTTCCCCTTCGTGTTTTTCTTACCGTGGCAGTGAATTAGTAATCAGTCTCCTTGTGGCTATTTTTGCCCATGTAACTTTGACATAAGGGATGTGCTTTTTCACACGTGACAAACTATAATAATCCAGTATTGTAAGAAAGTAAAAGACATAGACTCTCTCTCTCTCTCTCTCTCTCTCTCTCCATAGTTTCAGAGTTGTTTTTCTAGTTTTCATTCTATTGATTGGATCCTGCTCCACTGCGTCATCTGGTCTACCTCTGACCCACATCTCTTCTTATTGAGAAACCAATACAGAAGTAAATAGTTGCTCGTGATGATCTCTACAATAGTTCTATTATAAATGTCACCATAGCAACAGTCTTTTTTATTGTTTTGCTATTTTCTTGGATATTAACTTCCTCTGTTTTGAAGTGGTTATCCATATCAGAGTTCATAGTTCATATAACAAAAATTGGTAAGAGAAGAAAGCGTGTCTTTTTTTTTTTTTTTTTTTTTTTTGCTAAGCAACTGTAAATTTCATTAAATAGGCATCAAGCAGAAAATCCAAGTCTACATTGTGAACATCAGAACAAGGAGGCTTCCAACAAAACAGAGCTCCAAAACAAAAAAGTGAAAAAAAAAAAGAGAAAAAGAGAGAATAAAGCATTTATTGAAGATGGATTCTAGTTGCATTATATCGTGTTATTATGTCCTGTCAAGAACTACCTGCTGCTGAAAATGCTTAGACTGGAAGTGTTTTTTTTTTTTTTATTTTCTGGTTAAATATTCTTTTGTGCTTGGTAGAAATAAATGTTTCATTCATAGAATAGAGAACTTTGCAGTACATATTATTGAAGATGTGGAAGTGGAATTGCAAGGGACTTTTAAGTACAAATGAACTGTTCAGTTAGAAGCATCATATTTTCCAAGTAGAAAGATCTGCTTGACCTTTACTGATTTTAAATGTTTAAGCTTGTAATAATAATATGAGTTCAAAGATAATGGTGCAATGATCTTTCCAAGTTATGTTTAAAAGAAACACTGAAACAATGGAAAATGTGTATGAAAACCACTGTGAATTGAAATTGACTAATCACATATTTAAAACTGCAGTTCTGGTTATGTCTTGTCTGACTTAGGTTTGTGATATACATATGACTTGGTGCCAAATCAATGGAACTTTTAGAATGAACACATTGCATGAATGCCAAAGTTGCAAATTAGAACTGCATTATCTTATGCCTGCTTGTTTGGTTCGGTATGGATCAATGTTTTAAAACACGGAAGCATAACACAAGGCATTCCACTACCTAGAGGCATAAGCCTCCTGAACATACAGACCCTATTGTCCCAAGAACCGATCAGTTCGGTTCTGAGCCTAAAAAGTAAGCCCTATAAGATCCGGTTCGGTTTTAGGTCCATAGTATTTCTTGTTGGGTCGATTCTAATTCCAACTGGACTTGACCCGTTGACAGCCCTAAATTAGACTTGATTTGTATGGGTTTGGACCAGATTGGGTCCAATTTTGTAAATGGACCAACGTTGGATACTTGGATTGGACCAAATCTAGTCTAATTGTCAGCCCTACCACGCCACAACCTGGGTGAATCCACTGCAGGGCCTTCAAACCATATAGAATGTGAAGAGCCTAGAATATTGTCGCATTGGAATGTTAGTGTCCAAGTGTTATGTGAGCTGCGAGAGTAATGTTGCAACTTGCGAAGTCTATGGGAGATCGGCTTCAGTGCTCACACCATTCGCACAGTCTTCTACACTGTGCATTGGGAATATCTGTACTTGTATATTTTTCTTTGCACGGGGAGATATTCCCAATGCAAGGCTGCAAGACTGCAAACGGTGTGAGCACTGAAGCCGATTTCAGTGGAGGTTTTGACCTCAATTAGAGAGACTCTGATTTTCAACGTTCTTTTTTGAAAAAAAAAAATTGAAATTGTATATTGTATCGAGTGTCATATTAGCCTGATCTACGTATGCCAATTAAGGTGTTTTTGGGTACTTTTAGAAGAGATGAAGGCAAGCATTGACGCTGTCCTCTAGGCTCTAGCGAGATGCCTTAATTTCCAACTGGGCTGGGGTGGATTCAAATTTTAACTTTATTTTCTTTGTTTGGGTTTATATGACAGATTAATGGGTGAATAGGAGTATAGGACCGGTTGGATTTTGGTCATAGGGATTAGGGAGAAGGAACAAGGGGAAAAAAGGAAAGCAAAAATACAGGAAAAAGGCGGCACACATTATCTAATTCTCCTTTAAAATGAAGATAAATTTGATAATTATTATAGCTGCACAAGATCAGTAATTCATCGAATAACAAAGCTACAGGGAATAGGAATCCAATATTACCTCCAACACCGGCTACTTACAAAACATCTCTTACCAAAGTTGCACCATGTTGTGTTCCTTCATCCATATCCCCATAATCAAATAAAAAACTAGGAAACAAAATTTCGAATTCAAAACTGAAATTTAAGGTATGGTATCATCTCCAAATTCCAGGCAGTTGGTAACTTGAATTCCAAAACTGTGCAATGATCATCCGAGTCAGCTGGGGAGTGAACTTAATTCTTGAAAGCCAAATCACCTGATGCAGATGTCTTCTCATACACCAGCCATGAGCATACTGGTTCAAACAAAACCCACCAGCACTCTCCTCAGCAAGGCTACTTGTAAGGCAAAAAACAATGGTGGAGCTTCCCGTAGAACAGGGAAAATTACCAGCTCCTATTATTCTGTTAGGGGCATCATTCAACAACGCATGTTATATCTATTATATTTTAACAAGAAACAAATGGAAATATACGCAAGGCAGCCTCTTTTTGACTTGCATTTATCTTGTTAGAAGAGACTGACTATCCATGGGGTCAACTCTGGAGGATGAATGGCCCAAATATATTGGAGAAGGTGACCAAAAGAATATATAGATTTAGTGCCCTCAAACCCTTAGCTTTAGACCCAATGCAGTCTCAATTGTCTATAAATCAACCGTTGGATAGGCTCCAAGTGTAGAATGGCGTCCACTTCCATTGGAATCAGCACTTGCATGCAATGGTGATTGTAATTCTCCCGAGTGTGATGACTTTCGGGACTTTGGGTTCTTGGGAGATGCTGTATAAGATGTACCATAATCATTGCCTGTACTATACAATGAAGATGAGGTAAGTCCGTGGATCTTAGGCAACCCAGTGGGATCTGTACCCAAACTGTAACCTTTCTCAACAGTTTCAGCTTCAAGTGGCAATTCGTCCAATGTCTACAGGTAGAAGAAAAAAAATGGGCAAATATGATCAGAATGGAAGAAAAATAATGTAGTTTTGTGCTTATATGACTACTAACTATAAAAATAAAAGAAAAAGAAAATAAAGAAGAAGAACATCTCATGAAAGTCTACCAACAGCAGATACACATAACCCATGAGCAAGGAGAGCCATTTTGATGGGTCTTGGCATCCCACCCTGGGTGACCAGCCATCCATCGACTATTCTTTCCAGATGGACAACCTTATTCTTTCTGACCATCCAAAATGTGAAATATGGATGGTTGGGGTCATAAACCCAGACCACCATAATGTTTGGATAGATGAAGTGTGCTCTGTGAATCACAAGTACTGCTGTGCTATTTGTGAACCGCAGACATGAAATGTGCTCTGTGGGATGATCTCAAGAGAATCATGAGACACCTACCCTGAAAGCTTGTTGGAGAACTCGCAGCATCTCTCGACTGCGCTTCCTTTTCATGGCAATCTCGTCAGGTTCCTGAAGCATCTCTTCAAAAAGATTTTCTCTGTTGTGGAACAAAATACCAGAACATAGTACCAAATGCAAATACAAGGAAGTTTCACTGGTGATCCAGTTCAAGTTCAACTGGCAACAAAGAAATAAGGAATCAAGCAAAATCCAACTAGAGAAATCCATATACCCTACCTGTAAAGCTTTTTGATGAAGACATTACGGAGCTCTCGTTTGGTATGGTTGACCTGGTATGAAGTGACAATTATCAGATATTCACATACCTTGAATGTAGACCCAATTAAAAGAAAACAATGACAGGTCCCTCTTTTTGTGATTATGACAAATTTATTATCCCATACAGATTAAAATCACATAATTGGCACCCAATTACTAACAATCACATCTAAGCAGAAGCCTGCATGAGATTCATAAATAGAAAAAACACCACTTAGAGAGATTAAACGAGTACAGGAGCCCAGAGATGGACTCGTGCATTACACTACTACAAGGTGAATAAAGCATGTTTTATTACATGATGAATGGTCTCAAGGCCAGGAGTATATACCAGAAAGTGCATAATCGCTTTAGGCACAGAATCCTCAATATTCTTCCTTACGATATCATAATATGATCTCAATAGCAGTTTTGTGACTGCAACTTCAATTGCCTCTTGCTCTGTATGCGTATCTGAAGGCTTCAAAACCACTGGAGGCTAACCATGAAGTATCAACCAGCAAGTCTCATCAGAATGAAAAAAAGCAAGTAAACCTGGCATTTGGTGCTTAATCGGTTATGATGTGAAACTCATTCAGTTACCTCTTTCAGCTGGATCATTGAGAGAGAATGCTCCATGCCATGAGTAGGTTCACTATGTGGCTTGTTTATTGAGATCTCCCTTGTAGATGTACGGTTCTCACTTCCACCAAAAATTGAGGAAATTCCCCAACTTGAAGTGGTTGCATTTCCTGCTTAACAATCAAATCATCAACAAACTAAACACACTAATAGTACATACATCAGAGTCCAGATGATCCAGGATATGCTATCTATAAACATCCATCATTCAAGTGCACATTACCAGATGATCCAGATCTCTCATTATCTACAGCAGGCCGAACTCCCTGTTTGTCACCCAGATGAAAGTATAAGAAACAAAGGTAAATCAAGTGAAGAATGTCAAAACATAGCAATACCTGGTTACTTTATCTGAAAAGATGTGAGAACATGATTCTAGCCATTAAATAGAACATAGGAAATATAAAGAAAATGTGCAGAAACATAGTCCATGTACCTGATCTGGAACAATTCCATTTGCTGATGTCCTAGCAAGAATAGCTCGAGACTTCAAACTCTTTTCAGATGCAGGTATTTTATCAGAATCTACTCCATCCTAAATTCACAATATGCAAACAAATTACAAAATAAAAATTGAATGATTATGGTCCTCACTCCACTCTATTTACCATAGATATTGAAGTAACTAAGCATATCTACTTGCTCTTTTAAACAGGTTACAAGCATACCTTTGATTTAGGCAAAGGTACAGATAACCTGGCAGACTTGACCTGCTGCAATGCAATCTCTACAGCTTTGCTCCCACCAATAAAATTTGGGTGAGAAGTGTTCATGTAGTCCATCTACAAACACAGTTAGTTTAATGGTTTTGGTCCAAAGTGCATAAAAACAAATACAGATCTAAGAATTTAGAAACTAGTAGAACTGCATTAAAAAGCATATAACTGCATTATTAAGACACGAGAGATGGTAGAAGCTCTGTCCCCTGCAGCAAAGTAAGAATTGGATATAGAAGTCATTTGCCAAAAGAAAGAACAAAACATGCAGTTTGGAAAAATAACAGTTACTTGAACAGAAATATGATGTGAACACCTTATAGCCAAATTTTATAGGTATGCTCTCTTATCCACAGCTGCATAAAACCATAATAATCCTATATGTTAATTTCCCCATGGAAAAATAACATATTTACATCTGATGATAGACCTAAAACTAAATTTAAAGACATTTTAGCATACCCTTGTGCCACATTTTCCGGGTTCTAGTGAAAAGCATTTCAAGTTCGCAACAAGCTTACTTACAAATATAAATTGGGTGTAATGTGAGCACATCAAGTGTTCTAAAAGCAAGAAGCACAACTAAAATGTAAGAGGTTCCTATAGCCCTAAGTGCACGGAAAGGAACAAGACAAAGTGCACACCTGAACAATGTAAGGCACCACTTTCGAACAAAAATAAAAGAAAATATATAAGAATATGGAAATCTAAGTTTTGAAAGAAATAAAATAATTCAGATAATCTTTAGTGCAATTGGTTAGATGTCATGTTAACACAAATGTTGTAGTCTTGTGGGTTCAAGTCCTATAAGGCTAATTTCTTAAACTCTAAACATCAAAGGCAATTGCTTATTCAAACACCATATTCAAGATTATTCAAACACCATACCTGGTACACCTTACACTTCAGCCCTGGCAATGTGCCTTTTTCAAAATTTGCACATTTTGCTCTTTTAAGCCTAGCTCTTTTTTCTTTTTTTTTTTTTTTTTTGCTAATGTCGTTCATTTGTCTTCTTAATACAAGACATTTTTAAAAGACAAAGAATTATAATTAAAATTACAAATCTAATCAGCACCATATTAAAATTTCAAGTATCCAGGGCATAAGCATACCTCCATTTCTATTATGTGTCCAATCATTGTTTCTGAAGGTTCAAGGCCTTCCCGCAAAAAATTTCCAATAACTTCATCCATGCGCTTTCTGAGAACAGGAAACCGCTGCAGCTCACTCGACAGACACCGGTGACTCATCTGAGGTAATAAATTTAGTGTCTCACAGATGCAAAACATAGGCTGCTGGTAATGAACCAAATATTTAACAATAAAGACAACCCTTTGGAAACTACAAAGATTGTCAAATCACCTAACCTTAATTAATTCGTCATAGATAAACCTCGCACACTGGAGGCTTGGATCCAATAAACGAGCTATTTGTCTCCGGACAAGATTCTCAAATGGCACCTAAATGTTTGTAGGTTCATAAAATATATATATACACAACTATCAACTGAAAGTTGGAAACTAAAAACCAGTAAACAGCACTATAATATCCACCTCTGGCACAAATAAAGCAGATTTTGGGCCAGTTGCATTTTGAATGGCAGTACGAATGTCATGATCAGTTAAGTCATCACATGGATCCACCTCCTGCATTATGACCCAAATTGCATCAAGTGTCAATGGTCAGCAAAAGCATCAAAATTAGCAATTTATTCCTATAATCTGTATTTCTGAGTAAGATCACAAAGCCAATGAATCTACCAAATGTTGTTCTAAAAGGTTATTAAAACATGCTCCCAGAAGCACATGGCAAGCAAAAGTCCTCATTAGAGTGCACAAAGCACAGCTGCAGGTACAAGCCTTGACTCTTTTTCCCCAAGGAGTACAAGCATTAACGTTGATAATGTTCCTGGAAGCTAGGATAATTGGGGCTTTGAGGCAGTTCTAGACATACTTCACAAAGGATTCGCTTTGTCTATTCTGGTCCAATAGAGGACACAATCATTAGAGTGGCAACATTGGCCTTGCTAGAGGGATTAAAATCAAAGCTCATTATGGAATTTCATCACCTGCAGGTAGAGAGACTAGCGAGTAGTGATCGGATGGATGAGAGTTGAGAAGGTTCCAATAGCATCTATTGCATCACACTCAAAAGGCTAGATCTTTGGAAAATAGGGTGAACATCTTCTTCAACTAGATTCAGAGATCTGTCACTTCTTTAGTGGATAGCTTTAATAGACCAGGAGTGGATAGAGTTGATAAATAACAGAAGCTGATTTATTAGGATAATATATTTGAGTTTTCATTGAACACATTCCATTTCAATTTGAGTTTTCATTTCTGTTCTTTTTTGCATTTTCTCATTCTTTTGATCATTTAACAAAATCCTCATTGCTCATGTGGTGCAAGCCTCAGCTCTTGATGAGTGATATAAGGTTACCAACATGTTTACCATACATCAAATTGGGGCACAAGCTTTATATGATTAAGCATGCAACAAAAAAAAGTACTGTTTGAGGAATGCCCTATTGTCACGGGGGTCAGACCGTGACACTATAGTGTTTCACCTTTCATATGCCTTCATAGTGAGGCCAATCTGTAAGGCTTTCATCAATATTTAGATCACCTAAGGGTTCTCTCTTTGATTCTTCTTTTGAGTTTATAATTTTTTTATCAATAACTGCAAGTTTCATTAAAACTAAAGGCAACTTTTGAGTTAATAATTTTTTTTGGATCAATAACCACATTTCATTAATTAATCACAAAAATATTACAAGGATGAAGATAAACTTTCTTATCTTCCAACTGGAGCTTGAGCTCCCAAGAACAGAAAAAGGAAAAAATTACACTTGTGCCCAAAACATTAACTCCCTCTCGACTCCTTGCATAGCAAACCCATCAGCAAAAAAGTTAGCTGATCTTGATTTCCATCTCTTGAACCAGCCATCTAAATTTCCTCCTCTCATTACTGTACATCTATAACCTGCTATTTCTTTATTCAGCCACCCTACCACCACCTCCAAATCCCCTTCAATGATGAGTTTTCTTATATTCATCTCCTTAGCTCTTTGGACTCCTTCCAGAACTACAAAGATCTCAGCCCTGAGAGAGTCACCCACTCCAATTGGGCCTGAAAACATGGCTGAAACAAACCCATTCTCATCCCTAAACACACCTCCAATCCCCGATTGTCCAGGATTCCCCCAACTACTCCCATCAAAGTTTAGTTTTAAAAAACCAGCCAATGGGGGAGTCCAAGAACACTCATTACTGTTTTGGGCTAGGTGCAATTAGCAATCTCACCCCACTTCCTCAATAAATCATCCACTGTGAAGTATGTAAACAGCTCTGAAGACTTCAGCCATTGTACTACCCTTATATGGATTAGTTCTCTCAATTCTTCATTATCTCTCTCTACTTCAGAGAAGATCCTAGAAATTCTTTCCTCCCACAAAGCCCAACATACTGCAACCCTCAAGCATCTCCACATGGTCCTTCCCCTTTTCATTCGGCACCTGAAGAAGGAAGGGGAAAAAAGGCTTTGCAAATTTGATGGAAGATTCCATCTACCCCCAAAGAGGGATAATGCCCACACCCAATTGTACTTAGCAAACTGGCAAGTTGCCAATAGATGAAAACCAGTTTCTCCATCCGCTTTACAAAGAACACATCAGTTAGGGGATAAACAAGTCTTGTGTCTCTTCTTTTTGAACAAATCACCAGTATTGATTATTTCCAGTTGATAAATTCCTCTAATCAAATCAATTATCAAACAACTTCTGTTTTTTATATTAAATTCTGGTTATTGCTTCTCAGTACTGCTATTATTTGTTAACTCTTGTGGCTCAAACAAGACAATATGAAAAAGACACTCTTTTCTTACCGAGTCAATTATGTGCAAAGTGTAGGTATATAGTGTTCGCTCAGACCCTCAGAGAACATCAAACAATACATTTACACCACGAGGGTGCATGTGAGCAACCCACAGTCAACCCTCTTGCTGCGATGAACCCGTAATGTACCACAAGTTCTGCAATGAACTCACAACGCGCATCACAGAACCGCGATAACCTGCAGTTCACTGAGCCCACTTGGTGACCCGAACCAAAGGAAACCATGGCCAAACCCGCAAAAGGGCCCCACACCTGTTCAAACGCACGATAAACTCACGGCCCGTTAAACGTGCGATGAATCCACGGCCTACGAGCCCATTCGCAACCCAAACCAAGAGAAACCCGAGCTAAGCCCATGACGAAGCCCGCACGTGCTCAAATCCAATATTCCCTTTTCCGATAAGAGACAAGCACCTTTATCTCCTACCCTTTTAGGATCTCAGGATCTCCCCCATAAATAGAGATCCTCTTCGTATTGAAATCCATTCAGCGTCCAGCACTCAAGCACTCTTTACTTTCAGATTCTTTACTCTAACACCCTCAGCCCGAAAGCCACTCCCCCTACTTCCCGGCCTTTCTCTGTCTTTCAAAGAGACCATTCCCCATCCAAGCCTTACCCAACCTACATAAAGATAAGTTAATTCTAAGGGAACAGTTTAGCTAGAGGAGGAGAGTTACAAATGCAGAGTTATATTGGAATTCTTATATTGGAATTCTACCCTTTTGGGTTAGACTATAGTTTAGGTTTCATGGAAGGCAAGATGTGCTTTTACTTCTTACAATGTTTTAAAATTTGAAGGCATTATAAAAGCATTCCAGCGTTCCAATACCTAGAGCCTGGAGGCATGATATGTACTTCAAAATGCAAGATGCATAATCCTCCTCAAGAGGAGGAGGAGAAGGAAGGAAGGAATTCCACTTCTTCCTCTTCTTTCTTTCTTTTTTCTTTCTTTCTTTCTTTCTTTGTCTGGAGACATACTAGAGGTGCATGAGGCATATGCCTCATGCAAAAGGTGCTTGAGGTGTATGCCTCAGAGGAATCTATGGCTCCAGATACACCTCACCATGAGGTGCACTATTGGCTTTCTGCCCAACACAAACACGGATTCGAGATAGTAATCTCCTAGAGAAGAAATGAGAGAAGGGAGAGAGAACAGATAGGTTTCTGGGTTGAATCTTTCATAGCTCTCTTATTACTTTGCATTGCATTTATAGATGTGCAAGTTGGTAGTTGTAACAAATCAAGAATCAAGATTACCACTTGTCTCTTGTACAACTAGATCTTGCTTGGCTGTTTTTACCCCATGTGCTTTTCTCCTTGAGTATACTTTGATAACTGGTTTATTGGCTCGGTCTTGGTTTCTAACAATTCCTCCACCCCCCCTCCGAAGCAACCTCGTCCTCAAGGATGCGGAGGAAATTGTTGCCTTAGAACTGAGCAGGCCTCCCATGTTGCATCCTCTAGAGGCAGTCCTTGCCATTCGACTAAAGCTTCCCGTACCACCTATTGATGTTGTTTGATCCAGCAATAACCCATGACCTGCTTTGGTTGAAAAATGGCATGTCCATCTTCATCAAATTCCGGTAGAGTTGGGGCAATGTAAGCTGAAGTACCCACATGTTTTTTCAATTTTGATACATGAAAGACAGGGTGGAGACGACAGGACTGGGGTAGAGATAATTTGTATGCAACCACTCCAACTCATTCAGTGATGGCAAATGGTCCATAGTACCTTGGAGATTAACTTGTGGCATCTTTGTCGCCCCAGTGAAGCCTGTCTATAAGGAAGAAGCTTCAAATAAACCAAATTACCTATGTTGTACTCGACCTGTCGGTGGTGTTTATCATATTGGGCCTTCATTTGTTGTTGAGCCCGTGTCAAATTTACTTCGAGCTCTTTGAGAATGTTGTCACTATCTGATAGGTGACTACCAACCGCTGCCACTGAGGTGGATCCTTTTTCATAGGGAAGAATGGGAGGTGGGTCACACCCATAAAGTGCCTTAAAGGACATCATGCCTAGGGAGACGTAGAAGGTGGAGTTATACCACAGTTCTACCCAGGGTAGCCACTGAACCCATTGTTGTGGGTTATCACTGGCGAAACACCTCAAATATGTTTCTAAACATTTATTAATAGCCTCTATTTGCCCATCTGTTTGTGGGTGGTAACTTGTAGGCCTATTAAGGGTGGAACCTTGGAGCTTGAAGTACTCATGCCAAAAATTGCTTAGAAATGTTGGATCACGATCCGACAAGATAGATTTCAGTGTGCCATGTAAACGTGTTATTTCCTTTACAAACACGGTTGCTACCGTTGCAGCACTATAGGGGTGTTACAATGGTATAAAATGGGTGTATTTTGATAACCGGTCAACTACCACCAATATGACGGAGCATCCCTTAGACTTGGGCAGACCCCCAATGAAGTCGAGGGAGATTTTCATATGACCCAGAAATTTGACACACAGTTCACAGACTTACAGCAGCGTTCACACACTCGAACATCAACAAAAGAAACTAGTATCCATTCAGCAGAAAACATTAGCATTTGGTCGGTTCTTCGAGAAACCGCCGGCTCTCCCAAACACTCACAATATTCTTTACTCAAAGAAAACATACCACCCCCTATCCCCCAAAGCCCCTTCTTATACTCTTCTGATAGCATAACTGACTCCCTCTATAAATGCCCAGCTGGCCTAGTTATAAATGCCCAAAAACTCTTCTTTTTTCATAACTGACATAGCTATAAAT